TAGTACATCCATGACTATTTTTGACTGGCAGATTTGTTGCTTAAATTGATTCAATATGCTCTTCCTTATTTTCTGTCATTTACAGATGTTGCTAATGTGCTGGATGCTTGCATTAATATGGACAATAATTGAGTACAATTAGGTTAGATCATGTGCAAATATATAATGTCCGTTAGCCAAAATCAGCATGTTTCAGACACACACACGAAAATGTTACTTACAAACAGGAATATATCTGTATTTGTTAGTGACTATTTAAAAAAAAAAAAAAATCAACTTCCTTATTCAAACACTCCTTAGATAAGTGAGCTCTACACAATAATGTGTGCAAGGTTTTGTACTAGAAAATGTGTACACATGTATTTGATGAAATCTGAATGCTCCTTTGTATTCAGCTGAAATACTAGTTTAAGACATTTAACTGTGAACATCAGTTAAAGAGGCAGATTATATCTGATTATTGGTATATGAAAAAAAAAAAGACAGCATATAAAACTTTTATGAGATGGAAGAAGGAATAAATGTACTTTTGAGAATTTTTAATCAAATTAATTATTAAATATAATTAATAATATATTATTATGATGATTTGTCTATAGCCATCTTATGATATAATTTACATTTTTTTATTTATGAAAATATTATTCTTTTATTTCTTTGATTGATTATAATTACATTGGGAAGACCATATAGTAAATAACTAAAAAATATAAATACACAAGGTTATCAAAGTCAGACGCCTGACTTAGTATTATGGTCAGCACTGTGACAAACATCCATCCACTACCGCAGTGTGTTTGCTTTAGTTAGCTGCAGGGGATTGAACTGACCACATTCTTGCTTCCTGTCTCCTCCTGGGTCTCTTCATGTGCCAGCCTAACAAACCATTATGTTGCCAGATCAATAAAGACGATGAATGCTAAATTACTGGTCACACCGGATCCAGATGAAATAACTGGGGGGTGATTCACATCTGAGAAATGTAGCTGTTAAGACCTCAGGCTGATTTCCCAGAGTTCATGTCAGCATGAGAACATTTTTACAACAATTAGAGGATATCTGGCAAGAATTCATCATTATCCCATATCGTGAGCTGGCTAGTGAACTGCGAGTGCAGTGTTTGAACGTCAATCTAATTTGTTTCAATTGAAAGATGAACTCTAGGAAGGAAAACAATGAAAACAGATGAATTATGAACAACAATGAGGACGTAGGAGGGCAAGCAGGGCAGGGCTGGTTCTTTGTATCTACTTATTTGTCCAAATACAGGATGTGGTAAAGGGTCCACTGGGACATATAGAAGTATTTATCCCTCATAGAGATTACAACATGTTATCAGACATGCCATTTCTTAACATTAGAGCTCTCATCGTCACCCCCTCAAAATGGTAATGCAAAACTATTACAGCTTACTTCAGCATTCAGGGAAATCCCTTGAAAGCCAAATGGTGGTTACAAATGTGAAGCAGCACCTCAGAGCTAAAAGTGAGCACCACGACTATGAGTAACAGATGTCTTAGGGTACAAACCCAGCACGTTTAGGTTGACTTTGAATGTAGAAACACATTTTTAGAAAAGAAGATCATATGTAAAGTCAGTGAAAGTGACATATTTCTTGTCAAAAGGAGCATCTTGTCAAAGTGACACCAAGTTCGTTTTGGGATTTTTGGATTCTTTTCGCAGAAGGCAGCTATTCGTGACCACAAGTGTTTATCAACTGTCTATGATCAAACAAATAACATATGTGAATTCTGCTTCGCAGGGATTTTCACTGTAGGGTTAGCCAAGTTTACAAAGAGTGATGATCGCTACAGTAAATTAAAAATGACTTTCAGAATGGGTCAGCTTCCTGGAAACGAATGCTTCAAACAGATGGAGACAAGCACAGATTAAAATGAACAATCAGGAAATCATCCATGCAGTTTCTATCGCTTAATCCTGTTCAGGTGTGTGCAGGCTACGAGCTATTTGAGCAGTTTGTAGGGCTATTATGAGGCCATCATAGGGACACGGTGAGAAAAACATCTGCATTAGCTCACAGACTTACAAAATAATAAAAAAATATATATATCTATAATAAAAACTAAAAAAAACCTAAAACTAAAAATATCTATGATAAAACTAAATAATTTAAAGTAAATAATCTAACCTATGCCACAAACCCTGGGTAGCAAACAAACAGTCCCCAGTAGACCTACACAGACACGGCGACAACGTGCAAATTTTTCCGTTCTGTTGGGACATGGAACACAATAACCTTTGAAACAGTGACACATCCAGACTGAATCATCTCTATATTTTGAAGAACTTAAGGCCACCTTTCTCCCATTTTCGACACTGTCTGAAACTTTTATGACCATTTCATTGGTATTTAGGTTGTGCTCAATGACTGGTCAGTCTCCGTCAGCAATAAAATGCTGTAAAGTATTGAAATGTTTGGGCAGAACTTGGCATGATGTTACTGAACTACGGACTTTGAGATTTAATTCAAGGGGTTAAAAAAGATTATATTATTATATTTTTTAATATTTACTTTATTAGTGTTCTATTTTAAGTGGTCAAATGTAAATGGGCTATTTATTCAAAAGCTGTTTATGAACAGGCAAGGAGATTTTTATTGTATTTTTTAATCAATTAGGCAGGTAAAAGGCAAGTGGAATAGCCATCCTCAGAATGTAAAAAAATGAAAAGAAAAACAAAAGAACTCAAAACCACCAAAAAGATAATGGAGAAAATGTGGAGAAACAATATAAATAATTCAGGTACAAAAATTAAGAGCTCACATGAGCTTCACAACATAATAAAGTCTGATTGTTTATGGAAGACAACAATGAGAATGATCGCAGGATCCTTTCCATGGGAAAAAAAGTTCACAAGTTTCATCCTCTGCTGAACAACATAACACAAAGAGATAAAGGGAAGGCTTCAAACACTATAAGATTTAAACCACTCCTCAGGTTTTTGAACAGCAATGCCAGATCTGCAATTTTGCAGAACAAACAACCAAAAAATTAAAAGCCATTTATCCAACAATATCTGTAAGAGAGGAAGCTAAGATCTGCCCGTACCAGAGTAAAGTATGGAGTATGCTTTTAACAGCTCATGCTCTGACACATACTCTGTAACACACACTAGAGGCAGTGTGATGCATGGTCATGTATGCCTTTCACTGGGTCACTAAAACACAGAAGACACAAGATGAATTCTGTGTTTAGGGATATAACTGCTGGTAAAATTCAGACAAATGTAGCAAAGTTTACTGGAAAGACAATGTACAATGAAACTAAATATACAGTGAAAGCAACCCAGGACATTTTAAACTTCAGGAAGTGGATTATTCTGCAATTAATTACCTGATCTGTACCTGACAGAATGCTTTGAGTGGAAACATAAAGAGCCTAAAGCTCCTCAAACAACATCTGAACACAGTCACTGTATAGGTCTGGCAAAGCATCATAAAGGAGGAAACCTGTTATTTGGTCTGATCTGAACCTGACAGAACAGCATTCCACTCGCTTAAAGCAAACATAATGGCCTAAAATCCTTCAAACAAACACTGAAGACAGCCTCAGTATAGGTTTGGCAAAGGATCACAAAGGAGCAAAACTATTACTTGGTCATGTTTATGAATTCCAAATTTCAGGCAGTCACTGCTTGTGAAGGATCCTCAACAAAGAAATCTAAAATATTTGTTAAGTTAATTTGTCTAAATACATTTGAGTCCCTGAAAATAGGGGACAGGGTATAGATGGTGGTAATTCCCCCACAGCTGAGGCAGTATTTCTGTTCAGCTGCTTGAATTAGAGCTGAAAATCTGCACTTGAACAGGTTTTGATTGATTCATTTCAGATCTACTATTGTGTTTAAAGAAGAAAAAAAGAAAATTGTTACTTGTTACGAATTGCTACTTCATATTAAAACATTTTAAATGGACCTATTTGATTATAAAAATATTGCCAACATTGCGTCTGTAAACATATTTAGTACAACTAAATGGCATTAATCAGCTCAGTGTCTTATTGCCTTCTGAATTCAACACCAGGGAGAAATGGGCTGAGCACTATGCAAGTAAATGCCTCTGTCTCTCAAGTCCTTGGGAATGAACCCATTGAACTCCCTGAGGTGTATGGAAATAACTAGCAGAATGTAAAATCTTATATCCACTCTGCCATCTAGTGGCCAGAAGCCATTATTGCTTCTAAAGAGCCGTTAAGTAGCAACAGATGGTAAGATTTCAAATCCATTTGTTTGTGGTTAAATGGTGAAAAAAAGGTGGGCCTTCTTGTTTAATAACATTTTTTGACAGTGGCGATGAAAACATGCAGGGTTTAAGCACTAGTTAGAAGAAAATGTGATTTATTATGGTAATAAAAATGATATGAACAACCAGAAAATCACTTTGTTATTACATAATCAAACCATACTTTCTTGGTTAAATCGACTATCCCATGAGTGTCAAATTAAAATAGTTACTTCATGTACTTGCTGTGAACAGGTGGTGTTTATAAACAGATTAAACAGATCTTTCAGCTCAAATGAGCAACTCATAACAACATGGTATTAACTTCAGGCATTTTAAAACACAAAGAAACAGTTAAAACTAGTATTTTTGCTCTTTTAGCACAGACAAGAAAAAGAATGGAAATATAAGACGAAAATGAAACAGGAAAAGCATGACCTGTGTGAGAAACAGCACTAACTGCAGCAATGAAACTAAAAGTAGTAGTTGAAATAAAACCAACCTTTAAGATCACAAAATCCAAAGTATTTTGTTGTAATATAAAACAAATATAAAACCTGAATTTTAAATATAAAATAGAACCTACAATAAAAAACAACCAGATGGTAACCTAGACTCCACCGCACAATCTTTTACCAATAAAGTTAAATTTAATGTTTTCCACTAAACCAAATGAGAATTAAACAAATATTTTAGAAACAGATGTTGTTAATTCTCATATCAACCATTATTCTAACATATAGGCATACGCCCAGCTTACTAGTCAGCGTCTGCGAATTGGTCTGGCTCAGTGGGAATGATGTGACGGGACCATATTAGGGGGTGTGGGTGGTGCACCGCTGGGTTGTAACTGGCTGACACCGGCAGGGCCGCTGTGTCCCTTTGCTTCAGTGTCAGGTCCTGCAAAGCAAAACGGAGGACGTCTTCTGGACCTGAAACAGGCAGCAACACACGTCATGGCCTGAATCCTAAAAGTAGTACTGACACCTACAGTAACATCAGCTTCAATGAAAACAGGATGCTGAAGGACTGAAATTTGCGGTTTCTAATATTGATTTTTAATTTAGTATATATCCTGGCACTTTTATGCACATTTGACCATTTAAATGAAAGGAAATGTAGACACTTTATAACTGCAATGAGCCATTTCAAAAGTGGCTCTGTGTGGCAAGACTCACTTTTCTAAGGACTTTGGTTTCAGCAGTTTTCCTTTATGACAGAAAAAGTAATGACTACTACTACTATTAATACACATCAGGTAAACTTTAAAATTCCCTTGTTTGACCTCAGTGGTGAAGATATATTCAGTAATCAACCTTACAGCAACACTAATTCATAAACTTATTACATATGCATGTATATAATAACTAAGACATTTAAATTCAGTACTGTAAAGAGAGTAGATGTCATGAAAATGTTTTTTCTTTACCATAAGGTCTGACCCCAAAACACATGTTTTTCCAGTCAGAGCGTGTGCCCTCCTGGATCTCTTTTTCCCAGTCTTCCTCCGCTTCTGTGGGTGAAAGAATTTCCGGGTAGACGACTTCTTTGTCTCTGCAAGAGGGCTCATGTTAATTAAAGTGTTCCATAATCAGAGGGAAGGGAAATTAATTACATATCTGAAATACATTTCAGGTTGTTAGAGGCAGTATTTTTGGCCACAGTTTACATCTGATGTGTGCATAAAACCATTAATGTTGGAATTAATGTAACTGTGTGCTTTAAAAAGTGCTATACAAATAAAGGTATATTTATGAGTATTATAGAGTATTTTTATGCTTTAATTCATGCTGTCATTATGTGAATGAGATGAAAAAAATAATTTACCATTCCCATACGTTTTCACTGAATATAATAATTCAGTATGATATGCACAACTCATTCTTCACATCCATACTTGGTGCTGGAAGAAGCTTTGATGCATCTCTCCACTCAGTCTCAAGCATTAAAGAGCTATGGGAAGATGGGCTGTTTATACAAGAGCAGCTGGTCAGGGTGATAGAAGGGCAGCAGGACGGTTATCTGCTCCTTTGTGCAAAGAATTAACCTCCAGCGGGCTGCTCATGTACATGTTTATGTCGCTCTGATGCACCTGTTATCACTTTAATTTGCACCGAAACAAGTGAAATGGATTCACAATGATTTATGCTTTTTACCTGGACAGAATGATATCCCTTAAGTCTCTGTGTGTAAATCTACAGACAGATTTGAGCCTAACTATTATGTTTTTAGTGTTCATACTGTGCTGGCTGGAGATTTAAGAGACAGATATGCACAAGAATATTGATATCACTTTCATATGTTACTCACAGCAAGATAAGCAGTTATCTAAAATAATAACTAAAGCATTCAATATTCTGTCGTCTCAGCTGAAACTTCACTCAAGTTGGGACTGAAAGCATTTATTCTTCTACTTCATGAGTATAATTTTTGTACAGGAATACTTTTAATGACTGTTTCCAATACAAAATTATAGTGTGAAATTGTCTGGACTACAGGAGCTTTTATAATTTCACATATTCAATCTATGGACACATCTGAATCCCCCTCGCCCTGTGCACAGTCCTACTGGAATGGCATTCCCTAGGCTGTTCCCATAAAGCTGGAAGCATAGAATTGAGAACTCCCCTTGCTTGAATTAAAGGACCCAGGCTAACCCTAAAAAACAACCCCATAGCATTATCCCTCCTCCATCAAACTTTACAGTTGACTTTTATGCACCTTGTTCTGTACTTCAGGGCTGAGTTGCAATGGTTCGTAATTTATGAGGGAAGAACTTCACAAACTTAACCGATTTAGTACAAAAGTGGCATCCTATTACAGTACCCCACTCAGATTTAGTGAGGTCTTTAGAACAACCCATTCTTTCACAAATGTTTGTATTTGTTTTTATGCAGAAGGGAGTAAACTTGACTCATCTCCATCAGCTGAGCATTACGTATTACTTATCTGTCTCAGGGCCTCTGCAGTAGTAAATCTTGCTACTCTAGGGCTGTTATTAATGGTCCACTGCAAAACCATTAAAAAACGTGTTGATTTGAAGTAGAATCAACACATATAGGTATATATAGGCTGGACTTGAGAACTTTAAGATTAAGATAAGTGATGCACCTCTTCTTGTGTCTCGATCTCCTCCATCTTTTCTTCTTCCCTGACGCTGATAGGCTGGGATCTGGTACCTTTTGGTCAATGTTACTGGGCGGAGCACTAACTTTGGCTGAGTTACCACTCAGAAGATCTTCACTGCCGTTTCCATCAGATACTGGGGCATCACAGAGAGCTGGAATTTTGCATCCTTGTTTCTTGAGGGTCTCTGAGGGTGCTGCTTTTGTACTCTTGCCTTTGTAGCCATAGTTAAAATAATCGTTAATCCTGTATGTGGGTTTAGGACCATGCTGTGTGCCAGCTGGTGTGCTCCTACTGATTCTGCTGGCAGAAGCTGAGCATCCATTGTAAACAACTGCTCCATTAACCAAACCTGTGTTGTTGATCAGATCATTGGTTTTACAGCTGTTGTGATAGGTTCCCCTTCTGTTAGGCTCAAAGTTCATACAAGCCTGAGGCATCGCTTCACCTGTGAAACAGATGGAAGAGATTGACTGAATTTCTTAGATGATTTGTGTGAGTCGAGTGTGATTAGACCAAAAGTGACACAAATGTTATACTTGGACTTCTTTAGAGACTTTAGTTAATAATGAAAACATGTCATTAACGGCACCAACAGACCTCAAGTTATTTACATATCAAAGAGATTGCCTAATTCTTACAGTGACTGACACTGAGAACATAATACTTTCAAATGTAAATTACTGTCAAGTCTCCTTCCCTTTATACTAAGGAATGTTGGTTTTAGTGACGTTTCTAAACATATTTCCTGTATTAAAGTCTGATTCACAAACATTTACTTTTAGTGTGAATAGGCAGCTTTGAGCTGACAAATCTGGATATCGTCTGATTAGCAGTAGCTTCATTTTTTTTCAGCATGACAATAATCCCAAACACACTGCCAATGAAGTAAACGCCACGTGGAACTAAAAAATCCCCCCACCCACAGTGAAACAGTATCTGTAATGGATTGGCCTTCCCAGAGCTCGGACCTCAACAGTATTGAAACAGTGTGCGATCAATTTGTCAGAGGAGGGAACAAAAGCCAGCCAACATCCAAAAGCTTTTGGGTGTCCTTCAGGATGCCTGGAAAACTACTCCTGAAGACTACTTAAAGAAATTACAAGAAAATCTGTCTAAAAGAGGCATCCATACCATTATTGACTTTCATTAATTGTAAAAAAACTGTTTTTGCCTCTTATACTCTTTTTTCCATTTATGTTTGCAAATGCTTAATAAATCTCTGCACCCATCTCATTCTTTTTCCTTTTACAATACCAAAAAAAGATGGGGTGGCTCAAAACTTTTGCACAGGACTATATAAAAAGTCTAAACTTGGGGAATGGTTTTAATGAGGACTTAAAACTGTACAATTCATTTTTTGTCTAGTGCATATACTGACTGATGATTGTTTTTGGTGAAATTTAGTTGGTGTGTAGAAAGCAATGGCGGTCCATTAAGCTAAACTTTCAGCCTAAACCTTTTCAGTCAACACCTTTCTTACTTTTTTCTGTCAAATAGTTATTTTCATTGGTATTAATAAAAAAATTATACACAATAAATAATTTAAATCGTAAACAATGTTTCCTTAACAATAACCAAACATACTAACTGACACTTAGCTAGCTTTGTGCTCTTTTAACCCCAGTGAATGTAGGCGCCCTGTTTTCTGTTAGCGGGCTAACAACTTTAGCGCCGTTATCAACAGCTATTGTCATGCCGGCTGCTAAAAGTTTGTGAGCTTCCTGTGGGAAGAAAACAACAGGGAGCAGACAACATACACGGAAAGCACTAAGTTATGCGTTCACGTGCAAGTTTACCTTAAAACTTCACTCACATTATGCTTAATTTTAATTTAACTCTTACCTGCACCACACCAGCCGCGTGCAGCACCCAGCTGATCAAATGAAGCTGCGCAGTTCGCCGATAGGAGGCGCCAGAGTACACAAATACTGCTCCGAGAGCAGGTACAAATAAATATAAATGAAAGAAGATAAAGAATAAAATATAAAAATTAAACTAATGTATAAAAATAAATAAATGAATAAATAAATAAAACAATAACTGGCATTTATAATCCGCATTTATAAATTAACTGTAATGTAATTAGTCAAATTCAGGAAAACTACAGGTATAAAAGCACCAGTCACAATCAAATCAGATAAAAATATTTTTACTGTCGTTGCTCCAAAATAATGTCGCAAGGAAGATTTATTCAATTATTGTTTTTGGTTTGTTTTTTCCCCTCAATGCCTGGCCCTACATGGGTATTGACCATACATAACTAAACAGCGCAGGGCAGCACGGTGGTGCTAATAGCACTGCTGCCTCACAGCAAGAACTCAGGTAAGGAGACCCTGGGTTTGAATCCATCATCTGGCCAGAGCCTTCCTCTGTGTTCTGTCTGCATGGGTTTGAATGTCTCCAGTAACTACAGTCCAAAGACATGTAGTTAGTGGAGTTAGGTTAGATGGTGATTCTAAATGTGAGCGTGAATAGTCGTCCAGAGTGAACTCTGCCCCTGACCCTATGGCAGATGGGTACTGGTGGTACAAGTAATGTATGACAGACCCCAAGTGATCTTGGTCAGGATCCAGTTTGAGTTCTGTGTGTAAAGAATTTGACATGTCGATTGCTTAAACATAGAAAAGAGTTTGAAGTTTCCATTTTCCATTAGAACCACCATGTGCTTCTTCTTTCAGCTGCTCCTTTTATGGGTCACCACAGCAGATTACCTCCTTTGCCACACCAACCTTCTGCATGTTTTTTTCAGCAATGATCCATGAAGCTTCTCAGTGGTCTTTCTCTTTTTTGTGTCTGACAGTTCCATCTTCTTCCCTTTGCATGTCCAGAGCATTTCAGCCTTGCCTTTTTTACTTTGTTTCCCAGCCATTCATGTGCTGCTGAACTCAAAACTCTAAAAGTAAAACAAAAGGTCACGTGTGAAGCTTGATTATTTAAGTATTTAGTGGTGAACTCATTTCACAAACTTGATTTTCATAAGATTGGATTGATTTGGAAACAACAGCCTATTTTTTACATTGAGATCATGAGAAGATTCTTCGAGAGATACTTTAAGTGTGACTAAAGTATAAATGGTTTGAAACTACACTTAGACTTGAAGAAATGTCTGAAAATTGTACCTTAAATGGAAAAAGGTGATCCCTATGAAGAGGATTGATTTAGACAAGGAAGTTGAAAAGTTTTCAAAGCAACTAGTCAAAAGCAAAAGTCATTACAATATTTATCATTTGCATATGATTTGTCTGTTAAAATAATGTTTTCTTTTAAGGATCATCTAAAAAACAAAACAAAAAACAAATGTAAGTGGACATGTGACGCTTCCCTTTTCCTCTGGGAGTCAAAATGAATGGTTTGCCACCTGGATCAAATTAAGGGAAATCTTACTTGATATGCTATGTGGTATTTCACACAGTTGTACTTTCACAACTCTGTGACAACAATTTAAACGAAGTCATTTCCTGTCCGAGCACAGCAGTCACATGCTAAAAAGCAAGATCCACAAAGAAAAGGTCTTAGTTGGGTGTGAAAGAGCTCTATTGTTTTCCACAGTGTCCTGACATCAACCTACCAAACACGTTTGAAACCAATGATTAGCATCGAACCTCTTCAGGAAAGCGTTGCACTGTAGAGAAGGGGGAAGGGAAAGCAATTTTAAAGGGCACCTATAACACATTCAGCTTCAAACCAATCTAAAGGTTTGCATTTGGTTTTTCTAGTCTGGGCTATACAACTCCAGCTGTGAGCACAGAAGCACCACCCACTGCTGTTCAGACCCTCTGATTTGTGAGGTGCAGCCTATAGTTGATAATCCCATAGCTGTAAAATTAAATTAAACATAGATTTATGCCCACATATATGCAAAGGAGTTATCCCCAAATCTTAAAAGGTTGTAAATCTTGCGTTTTAAGATTTCCCATATGAGAATACATAATACACACAAACACATAAAATAAAACTTTTAAGTTAAAACATTCTCATTTGGCGACATGACTATTTTCATGCCAGCGCAAATACTTTTATTTACAGCAAAGTACATAATGGCAGCTAAGACAGCAGCAGCATACACTTTAGGCACAATGTTTATGTTTTAGAAACTATAGCTGAATTCAAATGAAAATAACAGAAATTTCATGAGGCAACATCACTGCCAAAGCCATTTTTTATTGCTATTTAAGATGACTGCATCCAATCGGATCGTCCTAATAACAGAAAGCTAAAAGCCATGAGTTTGTGACAGTTTTTACAGCTCAGTGTCTTGAATTTTTGTTTTTTTACTTGAAGAATGGCATAAGTGGATTAAAAGTGAAAAGATTTAAGATGCAAAACAGGACACAGATCAGCAGGTACTGGTAATAAGTTAATATTGCTCATAATAGTCACCGTTTAAGTTAGGAAGACAGTAAACAACCATATATAAAAACCCACTTTGAAGCTGATTGAAAATCAGTGGACTTACTGAATCTAACAAAAACCTTGAAAAAAACTCAAAAATCATTGCTCACTGTGTTTATATAAAAAAAAGGAAAGAAAAGAAGATAAACTGGCTTGCATACGTCACAAAGTCTTGTGCTATACTGCAAACAGGACAGCTAAGCAACAACAATTAGTTCCTTGATTAATCTGTATAAAAGTGTTTTCTCAGTATCAATCTGAAAAAAGATTGGTGAGTGGCACATAAAATACAAATTATCACTAGATAATTACAACATTTACAAGTCATGAAAATGTCATACATAGACAGAAAACGCACTTTCCAAAAAACAGCGTAAATCTATAGCGAGATTTTCTCGAAAAATGTCCTCAAAAGGCACAGACAGAAGTAAATGTGACCATGCAAAAGGAAACAAAACTTTTTTTTGTGCAAGGAAGCAAAACTCAAGTTTAGAATAATTACATAATACATGAGATTGTAATTGTTTCCCCTCTGAAAACAATGCCCTCCATATAACAGTACTAAATACTGTACACATGTTGCCAAATGTATTAACCAGTTTCAATGGAAAACTGCTTTTTTGGCCACACGGAAAGTTAATAAGGAATCGTACATTCGTGATATTTACAGTTTAAGAGGGCTTCAGAGTCATTGGGGCTTAAACTACAATCTGCAACCTGCTGTAGGTGCAAATGTGACAAATCAAGTCTTTTGTACCAAAAAGTGAGTCTCCTGTGCACGCTCACATCCGGTATCCAAGTCACTGAACATGAAAAGACAACTCGGTAAACCACGTTACAATGGCTACCAGTCACTCCACCTTACGCTGTACATTCACATCTTTATATTTCTGTGCAACACCATTTGGGGTCTATTGCCAGCAACAGTGACTTTTTATCAAGCTCAAGTTTAGCTAGCAAATAGCAGCCATGGAAGTTACAGTTTGAAGACACTCCTTGGTTGCAGCTTCGGCGCCATAACGCGACAATCAGCGACTAATCTGTACCAACTAAGGGCCACTTCTCAGTGAAAACTGTTCACTGCTATATGACTGATTGACGTACGAAGTGTGGTTTTGTGGAAGACGTGCGCAAGAGTGAACGAAAAACAAAATTTCACTTTCAGTGTACCTTCATCGACTTCACAAAAAGCCTCTTTTGGTAGCTTACCTGGCCTATCATGTAACATCCCCACCTGTTTAGGGTCAACGCTCTTCCTTAATTCATCGTCTTCAATTTATAATGTGGGCATCACTCTTTTTCTCTCTCTGACCGCTTGTGCCTCGCTTCTCGACCTTCTTTCAGCACATACTTGTCCAAATATGTCATCACACACACTCAGAGACTGGCAACAGTGGCCTGGCCTGTCTTGGTGCCTGTCTCACTCTGGATTTAAAGTCTGCTTGTCATGTTGCTCTACTGTCTTATTGTGCCTCTCTACGCCATGCCAAACAGCTTTAGATCAGGATAAAGCTGTTTACATTTTCTTTTTTTTTTTCTTCAGTTTTCATGTCCAGTGTACTAAATCAAGTGAATCTTCAAAGCACGTTGGACATTGAATATTCCTGGAGTTTTCACAAGAGATCAATCTTGTGACTTTAACTCCAGCTCACAGCATAGACAGAATAAAAATGTGATCAAATGAGTAGAACAGTCACAGTAGCATAACCAGTCAGTGAACAATCACTGGCTGAGAAAACTCCCTTTTGTTCAACACAGAATCCCCTTCTACCATCCGGAAGAGACGCTCTTCTTGGCACAAACAGCAGGGGGCGATGCATGTCTGTTTACGTAAGACTGGCTCTGTTTTTCTGTACACTTTCCCCCCGATTCAGGTCACCCTGCTCTGATCAGACAACTGGAATGATCCTCACTCTCCCAAGATCAGGAACGCTGCTCATTCCAGTTGAGTTGCTGCTAGTTCTTTATCTCTAGAATGGAGGGGTTGTGGTCCAGGATGTTCAGGATGATTTTGTCCATGTACTGTCGCAGACGTAAATTGATCTCCTCTTGCTCCTTCAGGGCTTCCATTAACTAGGGAGAAATATGTACAATACAAGTTATTCATTAGGAAAAAAAAATGTTACTATGATTCAGTTACATGACAATTAGCTCACTGTACTCAAATGGCCACCACAGTTACCACATGTGCATCCATTAGAGCAACTTTTTGATGTAACGAAAAACCTGCATCAGCTTTGTGATGCTATCATTTCAACATGGACCAAAATCTGAGGAATGTTTCTGTCACCTTGTTGAATCTGTGCCACGAAGAATCAAGGCAATTTCAATGTCACTAGCAAGGTGTACCTAATAAAGTGGCTGTTGACTGTATTATAATTTTAGAAAAATAAAACTTTTAACCAACCAACCAAAAAAGTAATGCCAATGTTAAAAAAATCTAACTAATGCACTGAACTCCTCTAACTGCACAGAAATATGATAACTCCTAGTAATGCTCTCCTCATTATGCAGATATAGATTTAATTGTAAAACAGAGGTAGATGCGTAACATTGTACTGCTGTGATATGGCCTGAAAAACAGCTGTTTCTCAACGTAACTAAGGAACCTGTAAGCACTGAGATAAAACACTGTCTGGAAGCTGTCAGTAAGACGCAGAATATTCAAAAAAAAAAAATCACATTGTAGCCGCAGGGGTGTTCATGTTCTTTGTTACAAGTCTGCATAACTGATTTTACCTGGTCTCTGGAGGCATTATCGATCTCAGCAGCTAGAGACTGAGCCTTGGTCTGTGTGGCAAACAGATTCTTGGCTTCATGCAGGCTGAGGCTGATGATCTGACCGTTCAGGTCCTCGTTCTGCTCTCTAAGCTTCTGGTTCTCCTAAAATGAAAAATCAGGGGAGGAGGTGGAGGACAGAGAGCCAGAAAGGACAAGATAAGTTCCTAGGCCATAAAAGTGCACTAAAATGACTTAAAAAAAAAAAGAAAGAAGAAAAGACCACTACTCAAGCCACACTCAACCCATTTGACAAAGCACTGCGGTTGGTAGCAGCAAACTCAGCAATGCACATCTATGTTTGCAGCACCTACGAGATGTAACATGGGTTATGCGTGTTACAAAACAAACTCTTCCCTGCTTTTTCTGGTGTGTTATGAAAGCTCCACGATCAAGTTGCCTTAAACTGCTTACGAGAGGTCAGTTTGCGTTTCCCTTAAGTCTATCCTTAAACATTAGTGAGGGAACTGCAGCGCCTGGTCAGCATGGACAACTTCACTCTACTCCATTGTCGTGATTAGTGGTTAATCGGTAGGTCAGAGGTCACGGAAGCAATTTTACCATCAGCCCGGGACGGAGCCGAGCCCCAGTCAACACCAGGTGCTGGTATTCAGGGGGAAGAAAGTCCTGGGACACAAATCGCTGGACACACACACAGACATTTACAAAAAGGTGCACAGGCAAGCATAAGAGAGTGAATTCATCCTTCTCGTGGGTGAACAGAGGTCGTGATCCATCACATATAAAACACAGACAGTTTTATTACTTGTCCGAGTTCAAAAGACATGCTGGTAACTCTGCTGGGAGGAGCAGATTTAGAGAAAGACAGGACACGAAGGCAGAATGAAACTACTGCTATTACTCCTTTACTTGCTTGCTTGCAAGGTGTGACAAGTTTGGCTCGAAGCCAGGAGAACATGGACCGTATCATGTTAAGTCACCGATAAAACGGACACTGAATGAATCAGCAGTTCTGGCCGGCTGTGCCATTTAAAAGTTACCTCAAGGCCACGTGGGTTTGATAACTCCAGATTTTTATGGTGCCTTTGTCTGGCTTAGGAACATCAAAGCGACATTTCTAATGCATATGACCTCGTGATAAAAAGTCACACAAAAGCTTCTGCACAACTGCTTTTATGCATCTTATCTGAGAGGACATCTGAAAAACACTTTCATCTACTTGCTTATCTCTAATGTTTGCTTTACACCAGGTCTGGCCACTTAACAGGACTGCAACAATAAGATCTGCCTTGTAACTGTAGCAGGCAAAATGTCAGACAAACAGATCTAAGAAAAGATAAAGATCACATGTCCTCTGCAGCTGGCACTGCATTTAGCAATGCTGAACTTCTCTTTAATGGTTAAAAGATCGGCACAGTACATCGGGGATCACAGCAGTTCTAATGCACAACAATGTATTCTGGCTGAATGTAGTCTGTGACACTATATGCTCAATTTTCCTCTTTTGGTTGTAGCCACAAAAAACAGCTTCATTTACACAAGCAGAAAGGTTTATGTTCCTCTGGCAGCCAGTTAGGTGTGTTAAATGTTGTGGAGGAGTGCTTCAGAAAAAGTTAAAATACAAAAAGTGCTCATGAAAAGTTGTAAAACCGTATGTGATAACAGTGTAGTTTTTTGAGCTGAATTTCTATTTCTAGGGGCGATTACTGTACTGAATGCATCATTCAGCGTGACAGACAGTGGAAACATATACATATGAGCTAATAACTTATAAAATCAGTCAAAAATATTCACATTCAACGCTGAATCAATCAAGTCTAAGAAGCCAGGGTACATGAACTGCTACTCTAATCAAATGAAACATGAATAATCTGTTAAATATTCATACATTACATTACATTCAGTCTGTGACACCTTAATTTGTACTTCTCACTTCTGTGCATCTACAACCTCCACATGCATGCAAAGCTCCACATAAACACATTTCAAAAAGCAGAAACTCCTCATTTCTGTCATACGATCAAATCAAAACAGCATTTAGATATTTTTGAAAATCCTTTGATTGCTTACATACATTGAATGAAGGATTGTAGAAAGTTTTAAACACTGTTTCATATTCTTATTGTTCATTATTCATAACAAACAGTCTTAAAGCACATTCATTAGCAACAATACTCGCTGAACTGCCCATGCCCAACAGAGCATTTCATCAGTACCTGTTTGAGCCTCTTGACTTCATGCTCCAGCTCCACCTCCCTGCTCCTGTTGTTGAAGTCTGAGAGCCCCGTGGAGGAGCTCGGCCTCCGGCCTGACCTCTCTGCATCCAGCTTGAAGACCTGCAAGTGTTCCAGCTCTCGACGCAGGTCCTCTATCAGCTACGCAGCACAGAAAGAACGAATGAAAAACGTTATATAATGTGCAGAGGCAGCATATTGTAGGTGTAAGTGTATCAGCTGACATAAATGCTGCGAGAGACTGGTTACAGAGAAACTGAATGAGCAACATAACAAACAATCACACCTTGCTGTGTGTGTCTGGTTACATAAAATACTTCCTCCTACCTCCTGCATGGCATCCTTTTCTTTCTGGAACTGATGTCTATTTTGTTTCAGTTTGTCCATCATTTTCTTGTAAAGATCCATCTCATCCTTCAGGCGCAGGCTGGTATCCTCCAGCTTATCTGTCATCCTTTGCTTCTCCTAAGGGTAGACATATATACACACAGCTATAGTTTGAACTTTATTTTCCTTTATTTATCTGTGTGTTTGGTATTCAGGGTCATGGGAGTGCATTTCTTTTGAGCAAACAAGTTTTAACACCAAGATAAAGTTTGCATTTATATTCTGTGATAAATTGCTTGCACAACATTTTGTAAGCTAGAGTCGGGTTTGGTGTCATTTGCATAGATACAAGTTCATAAATGAGGTGTGGTTCAAAACTAAGAGGCTATCTCCACAGATATAATTACTGGCGTCTCTCTTTGGCTTTGTGAATGTTGAAGGAGTTGTCGCTGTGCTCACAGGCGTGGATAGAAATGAGAAAACCCGCCATGTTTGCAAGAGAAACAGACACCAAACTGCAGAGATTCACACACACAACTGATGACAGACAACTACTTAACCCTTTAAAGCCTAAGCCATGAAATAAATGGCAGAAAAATAATTTTTTGGAAAATAGAGTGTTTACTGCACCTTCTGACAAAATGTTTTAAAAAATTAATTACATAATAATTTGCAAATATGAGTTTTAACATGTATCATATTTTCCACATAAGGTGTTTGTTTGTTTTTTTTGCAATTTGTTCATTAAAAATGCATTGTGCAATTTCTTCTTTTGGTTTTTCAGAAGAAAAAAAAGTATACTGATGGTGTAAAAGTCTCAAAAACTCACAAAAACCCATGTATCAACTATACTACATCTGGCTTTAAAAGGTTAAATGACCAACACAGGAAATACAGCCGGAAATGTAAGTAACACTTACCTCATCCAGCTTCTCTGTCTGCGACTTGAGTCGGTTCATGTTAAGGGACATCTCACTATTCTCCTCCTCCAGCTGCTTAACTCTGCAGACACAAAATCCCTTATGTCAGCGTGCATTTCTATAGTGTGGCACACAGTCAGCTAAGGCACTGTTTTGGGTAAAATACATGCTGTAGCTGTCCAGAGGCAGATGACTAAAACCCTGGGAGGACTCTCAGAGCTGTTAAGCATTTAGTTCTCCATTTTGCATTTATTTTCTTAAGCGAGCAGGGACATAAACCATCATTACCCAGGAAATGGTCGGTGTCTAATTCTCTCCGATTATTATCAAACTATAATGAGTTTCACATATTTACATAAAAAAAGATAATGCACAAATAATTGGGAAATGTGCTCAGTAAATTGTGCAACTGTGTGTTTCTCACCGGTTGGTCAGCAGCTCTATCTGTGTGTTCTTGTCTCTCTCCAGCTTGCTGTAAGCCTCTCTGTGGCGTCTCAGGCCCTCCTGCACACTTTGCTCTGCCCGGGTCTCTTGGTCTTTCAGCTGCTCCTCCAGCTCATGAACCCTGATGATGAGGATGATGAACGCATCAGACAACATGATTTATTTTTTTGTTACAAAGCATAAAAACCGAGCTTACTTTGGAAATGACTAAATCACTGCTGCAATTTTACATGAGTAATTTCAGTAAAATTATCTGCCCTTCATTTTCTTTTGTGCTGCTATAAATTAGACTAGATTCAACTTTAATGTGACTGTGCTGAGGATTGTACAAAGCCAGTGAAATGCAGTTAGCTGGAAGAGAACAGTCTATATACAGAAGTGAAAATGCAAATATACAGCAGCACTTCAAGTATGTTGGCATGTACAGAGAGTATAGCATATATGAGCATAAATAGTGTTGTCAGTGAAGAGATGTGTATGTATAAATTACATGCATGTTACATAATTTTATGCTTATGTTAAGATAAGACTAGTTCAAAGGGGAAACACAGTCCTCTACCTGTGCACTAGCTGAGTGTTCTCCTGCTTCAGTTTGGACTTGAGGTCACTGTTCAGCAGGATCTCATTCTCCAGTTCTGCCACCTTCTTCTCAAGAGAAGTGACCTGAGAGAAAAACAAACTGTGAAATTACACCAGAAACTAAATTAAATGTTACAATCCTATGCAAAAATTTAGGTTTTGCATCGCTGGCCATCGGAAAAACCTAAAAATATCCTTCATCAAATTAAACAATCTAAATTAGGTAATAAAGTTAACTGGGCAAGTTTGTAATTGAAAACAGATTCATAATGTTTAACTTAAGTTTGCAAATGTAAGAACTGACAGAAATTAGTAAATGTATCATATTAAGCTGTAGCATTTTTAACATGCAGGAGGTGAGTGTTTAGTATCTCAGTTTTTCACTTCCACTGAAAATACTAGATCTGACATGATCACATCCAATGAGGAATCGACTTTTGTTTAAAAAAAGCGCAGTCATACAAATCACCACATGGAGCAAACTAACAGAAGAAACATAAAGTCATACCTTCTCATTGATGTCGGTGTCGCAGGAGTCGATGCTGTCTCGGAAAAGGTCCTCTGTGCTGCCGTTACTGCTGCTCAAGTTGCTGTTGTGGAGCAGCTGCCTGCTCGAACAAACAGATAGCTTAGAGAATATGCTCGGAATAGATCCAGGCAATGACCAGTTCTGGGTGTTTATGTTTCTGCAGTGAAGCTGCTGCAAGGTAACCCAGATATAGGACACTACAGTGCCAAAGAAAAGAAGCTGCTGCAAACAGGATTAACACGAGCATTCTCACACTCACACCCACACAGGTGTGTGTACATCTGGTTGTGATATTTATGTCATAATGTAGTTTTTAGCTTCCCCATTGTAAACTGATGGAATAACGTGGGAAAAACAAGCTGCTGGCTTATTACTGAGATTAGCAACAGAGAGGAGAGGAGAGGAAACAAAAAGGAGAAAGGGCAGAAGAACAGTTAAAGAGAGCCATAAAGTGAAAGCAGCCATCAAACCAGACAGAGGAGAAAGTAAGAAGAACAGGGAGACAAGCCAAGCCTTATATTGAATACATAGATCAGTCCTGACAGGCCATTTTCACTCTGTCACTATAACTCAATTTCTGTGGGTGAAAATAGGACAAAAGCCTAGATACAAAACATCTCACCCACTACAGACCAACAGTCCATGTAGTGGGCCACTCCTGCCACTAAAAAAAGATGATGTCAAACTCGTTTCCTCAGCTCTGAGACAAAAAACAGTGTGTGTTTTACAGTGTGCTTGGCTCTATAATTCTTTGAATAACTAGTTAGTAATTAACCTATTTAGTGTGTGCAGTGATAGGACAGCTGAGAGATCAGGAAGCACTAGTTGATCATCTTGCTCTGTGTACGTCACTATGTCAACAAGATCGAACAAGCACGTGTAGGGCGGGCTGTATAATGCATAAACACGCAGAGGACAACTGAGTGACCTTGCCTGTAACGCACAGAAGCACATGCATGTGGACACAAACGCAAAGGTAAAAAGCCTACCTTCCAAAAGCAGTGCTGGAGATTTTCCTGTTGGGGCTACAAGGAGAAGAACAAGATTTCAGATTCTTTTCAGTCAATCATCATCATCTGTCCAGACACATAGCTCAACAATACAGTGGATGTAACCACTAATTTTTAGCTATTTAGTGCGAGAGAGAGTAGGAAGGATAGGAAAAATGATCACTGAAGGTCACTATTAATATTATTTTAGTCCTTGGTGAACAGGGCTTTCTGTCAGCTCTAGAGGGATTCACATTAGATTAATAAAAATGAGCAAACACACTGCAGGGTTACCCAGTTGACAGCTGACACTGATATAAAGCGAACATCATCATTAAGTCCTGGCACAAAACACTAGGCTTTCAAGGCTGGAGGATAAACAAAGTTAACGCAGCAGAATACAGTGCAATTCAACAATTTTTTATAAAAACAGCCTATTCTGTGCAAAAAATGATCACTGTTGTCTGTACAGTATGACTATGGGGCTTATGTGTGATGATGTCATGTGGCTGCTCCTTGCTAACAGTTTAAGAACAAGATGTACAATATAAAAGCTTTCTCAAAGAAAAAAAAGCTACAAATAGGTCTTAAAGGTATAAAAGCTTCAGGAGGATTATCTTCACATTCAGATGAAGCAAAGTTTCATAGACTCTGTAATCCTGAATGACAAAACGATTTCCTTACAGCTAATGTTTCAGTTAAACTCACATCAACTCATGACTCCAAGGTGCCCAGGTCTTAAAAGAAAAACAATCCCAGATCATTATCCCTCTACCTCTGTGCTTGGCAGTTGTTATGAGGCGTTTGTGTTAGTTCAGAGTCTGAGATGTAGCTCTAAGGGTTTTTTATTTTTTTTGCAATTCCTCTTATTTTGAGGTGAATTTATCCCTCCTGGGAAGAATGGCAGCTGTTTTGAATGCTTCTTCTTTCAGAATAATGGACTTGACAGGATTTGGAAACGGCTTTAAAATCCTTCTTAGATTGATGGGCAGCAAAATTGTGTCACTAAGATGCATCACTGCCACAGACCTGAATGCACCAGCCTAGCAAAGTGCCAAAGCCTCTGCTTTTACAGGGGTGCTCACACTTCCTGGTGATCAGTTAATCAGGTGCATTTGATAAGCAGCGCTTGGCAGTTACTTTGCCTCTTAGGTGCTGTGGTATGAGGGTATGATAAGTTTTTCACAGGACTGTACAGAGTGGTTTGAAGATTTTTTTCCCCCATGATACACCAGTGTGTGAATGGGTGTGTGAATGGGTGAATGACTGAATGTAGTGTAAAGCACTTTGGGGTCCATAGGGACTAAGTAAAGCGCTATACAAATACAGGCCATTTACCATTTACCATGACTTTACATTCAGTAGAAACAAATGTAAATTCATGTGAAAGGTTTGAAATGTATTCCCTATATATTTTTTATCTACACAAATTGCAAACATATGTTACAGTACAAGACTTTATCTAAAAGCTCATTCAGTCTGTAATTTACCAGCATTCTTATGTACAAAATTGAAAAATAAACAACAATCATCTGTAGCATTGTTTATAAAACAGAATCCCAAATTAGCATTATAAGCAGGTAATAGATGAACGCATTCACCAATTCAAGCATATTTTTCACAGCCTTAAATTACTTGAATGTATTTGCTATTAAATATAATAAGAGCTCAGACAAAAATCTGAACGTTTGGATAACCTGTTCAATTCTTTACCATTCTGAACCTCATCAAACTCAGTCTCTAAATTAATACCCCTTTATTAACACAGCCCTTCTGCGAAGACCTAACACTACTCTGCCTGCGAGTGGCTTGTGCTTGTCAGGGTCGGATACACGAAAACACGAAAAATAACTGTATGTGGATGTGGGTGTGTTTTTCAAACGCTGACACAGACGACAGAGAACAGAAGCAGCACGTCTCACAATGCATTCGAGAATTTCAGCTTTGGATTTTATTACATTTCTATTTTGGTAAAAACATTTACCTGCCAGCGTGGCAGCTAAACTTCGGTGATTGACACACCAAATGAAAAAACTATCTGGGTGACAATTTAAGAGCCTGTTTACAAAACATCACAACATTGTCTAAGCAACTTTATGTTGTGCTCAAACGGTTAACCCTTAATGAACTCTGACCATAGGAGAAGAATATAAACAAGAAATTCTTTAAATCTTTTAAGCCTTCTCTATTGCAAAACCTATGAGGGACTAACCCCCATAGAGTCCAACATCCATGTTTCAAATTGTACTCTAAGACATTTTTCTTAGTTTAATTTTCTAAAAAGTGTGCGTCTGCATGCCTGTGCATGTGTGTATTTGTGTTTCCAGGTGGACTGTACAGTTATTAATGGTCACTGCGGATTATGTTTCTAATAATAGTTTCCCTATTACAATGGGCGGTGAGGTAAGCTCAGGAGTGACAGCCTTACATAACGATCAATTAGAGTTTGTGTGTGAGCATGTGGAGAGATGATGTGTTCAGTCATGTGTGAAACCAGGCGAGGAATCATTTAAGACTCTGTAACAATGTGAGATCATTCACATTAAATTACAGTTTAAGAAAAAGAGCCACAGATAACAGTGTCTCCTGGGTCAGTACGATGTGAGTGGATGAATACACTTTAAATTCGGGATAGTTCACTTACGAGTTGACAGCATCTGTTTCTTCTCACGTAACAGTAGGGTGGATCCTTCCTGTCTCTTGTATATATGACTTATTGTCTTCTATGTTTAGACAAATTACCTGCCAGGATGAATAACTCTAATTTCCAAAGAAATAAGGCATGTGTGCTCTTGTTTCGGAGCTTCTGCTAGTGGGAAATGTGTACTCTGCCTGGGAAAATTGCAGACTACGAAGGATTTTTGGAAATTATTAAATTAGGAGATGACATCACTGTGTGTATGCGTTATGCGTGTCCTACCTGTTTGCTTTCAGGTTTTTGAGGCGAGCATCCAGGTCATTTAGCAGGTTGACCTTTTTACTGCACTGAGAACAGTAGACATCCGTCATTTCTCCGGTGTAATGGTGACGCACCTTACGAGGAGTCTGACCCGCACTATCAACACAAAGACACACAGAAACATAGCCACAGTTACTGAAACCAATCAGACCATTTATCAAGAAATAGCGAATGATGCACTTTGGACCTTATTTACATGTAATCATTAGTTATTATTTGGATTATTGCAGGTTATTTACCTTACAATATAAAGCATCTTGACAACTTTTGTTGTTATTTGGAGCTATATAAGTAAAACTGAATTAAATTGAACCTCTTACGAAAACAAAAAATAACAACATTGTTGCCCATCTATTGCTGGATTATCACTTTTAAGGTCTGATCTGAACATAAACCGCACAATCTTCATGTAGTTCGGAATAACTTTGTGAAATCGTGTTCGTTACTCCTAAAAAAGTCAAAACAGTTCAACATTAAGTTTTAAGCATTCCTCTAATCTTCATCTTTTTTTAACTTTAAGATCAATATCTTGACTAGAAACTCGAAATTGTACTTTTTGCAGACGGTTATTCAAATGTCTTTGCTGTGCTGAGCTGTCTAAAAGTTCTTGTAAATCTGGGCCTCATTTTGAATTTAAATCTCCCTGCCAACTCCATTTGATAAGTTTTATCTGCTTGGTATGTGTGAAAGGAGCATGGTGCTGTAAAGCCAGTCTTTCAGCTGGGAGACGTAATCCCATTAAACACAGGCTTTTGATGAATATTAATGTGGCCTCAAGGGCACGAACTCCTAAGCTACAGTGCTACAGTCAAAACTCTGAATAATATGAAGTTGGTACTATTCTAGGACAGAGACTGCACCCTCCCAGTCTGTGGTTCCCTTTGCCCCAAGTGATTTAGTAGGAATACTGAATCATAGCAATAATGAGACACTTACAGAGAGTTAATTCTTTCGAATCACTCTACGTCAAACACATCAGGACATAAAATTATCAATTTGTCATCACTGTTTTGGTAAACCCTTTAGTTTGTGCAGCAATTAGTATAAGAAACCCCAAAAAGCTCAAATAAAATGACTTAATTCAATGTTTGTAGATCTAGAGAGTTTCTTTTGATGATGCAGGCATGAGCACGTGTTTGTGATTTTTTAATGTTCAAGCATTCGACTGATGCAGGATTTCTGGTTCCACATTCGTTCCCATTTCCACAGATTTTAGGCAAAGCAGAGATTATAGGAATTCAACCAACCCCAAGTCTGCACACGGTTCTCAAACAAAGCAAGATCAAGTTGCCAACGAGCCACATGCTACGCGCAAGCTGAATTTTGTTGGTTAAAAAGATGGCTAGAACAGGAAAGAGGAAACCACAGCAGGTTTCACTACGAAGAAAAAGACGAGTGGAAAAAACCCCATCAAAAATAGAAAATAAAACACAAAAAGAAAAAAAGAATGATTCTTTCTCTGCTGCTTCACTTTCACTGTTGTCTTTCCACAACAGGGTCTAAGCTAAAAAGCCAGCAACAGCACAAACATGAACAAAAGTGAGCCAAATTACTGGTTCCTGGCTGCATACCTTTGACACTGCGTCATACAAGAGCGCGCTGTCATATCTGGGGCTGCAAAGATCTGTGCATCACCCGCAGTACCAATACTGTAACATGTCGGGTCTTTTAGCAGACAACTTCACCACAATGAATGTCCAAAACAACACTGTCCATATAAAAGCAGTCAATTGTTGAAATAAGAGTCAACTGGGACCTGATGAATAATAGACTGTAATGAATAAAAGAAATGGGTCACCTACACGTTACACCTACAGGAACTGCTCTGTCATGAAAACTAATGCCGTGAAGCTCCCAGCACACAGTATTTGTGCTGATGTTAATGCCAGAAGAGGTTTGGAACTCTTAAGCTATTGAGCCAGCACAGCGTTGGCGACTTTTAAACACTATGCACCTCAGCACTTGGCGACCTTGCTCTGTAACTTTATGTGTTCTCCCAGTTTGTGGCCGAGTTGCTGTGGTTCCTAAATGTGTCAGCTTTGAATAAATATATCTAACAAGTGATTGTGGAATATGTATAAGGGAGGAAATTTCACAAACCAAGTTGTAGCAATGGTGGATTCCTGTTACAGCAAAATGCTTCAGAGAGCTCTTTAGAAAGACCCATTCTTTCACAAATGCTTGCAAAGGCAGACTCCACGGTCAGGTGCTTGATCTCATATACCTGTCCCAGTGGGACTGAAAACACCCGAATCCACAAAATAGCTACAAGTATGTTTTTTAATGTCACGATTTTCACTATATTGAGGATCACCATTAACACTGAATATAGTTATGAATGTAGAACGTAGTCTTATAGTTGAGTACCCCAACATGAAAAACAATGTTTTTTTTTAGCTCGCTCCCACCTCGAGGGCACAGATGAGCCAAGGTCAGAATAACCGTTGGTACGAGCCTCGTCGTCCAGACAAGGGCTGCTGGGAGTGTAGTCCGGCTCCTCCCCTTCGCCGTAGTCTTCAAACTGCTCCTCGTACAGAGAAGCCGACGAACGTGTTGACAGGTCAGAGGTCACAGAGATACTGGTCTGACCGCACCTGAAGAAAGAGAGGGAGATGTTGGCTCTATAATCTGAAGTTATCTTTATTTTCGATATAAATTGAAATGGAGAAGTTTCTAGCTCAACTTCATCCACTTCTCCCAGTGTGCACAGAGAAGAGATTATAGTCTGAAGATGGTAAAGCTCCTATGTGACTAGCAAACTATGTGAAACAAACTAAAAGACATCTGAATGAACCTGAAAGTGAAGTGATCACGAATCAGTGACAAAAACAGAAGGCGTAAGTTAAAAATGACCCAAGACTGCTTACTTCTCCCCGGGAAAAAAGAGATCCCCTAGCGTGTCTTCCTTGTCTCCCAGTCTGGTGAGCCCGTCTGAGGTTTCCGAACCCTGAGTGCTTTCCACAGCGCTGTCTCTGTCCGATTCCCTCTCCTTGCCTTCGTCTACCACCTCCTCCTCAGGCTCCTCCACCTCTTCTGGGAACAGCTGGCACTCACGGACGGGGTCAGGATAGGCCCGCGTGCACATGATGACCGGACAAACCTGATCCTCCTCAGCACCCTGCAGAAGCCAGAAGGGGACAAGCACAGATTAGCATCAGTTTGAACAAGGCCACACAATTATTAGTAGCGAAAGACAAGATAAACATAATATTTGCCCTGAATGATATCCCAAATGTCTTAAGTTTAAAACATCAAAGTATGATCTTTAGAGTTTGTACCAGAGAATTGAAAGCATTTTTGGACCTCAACTGAACCACCTCCAGGCCTCAGTATCAGAGACTTTTGTGTTTTTAAGCTATCAGAAGTAGAAAATGCATGCATACACACCGGCATCATTTCCATAAGCTTATCTAATGTCAAAACATATATTTCTACATCCCCAAAACTGTCAGTGGAGTTAAAATCTAGACTTTGTTGTGGCCAAGCCATCTGTGAATATCATATTCAGGTATTCTGACCTCAGTTTATTTGGGCCCATAACATTAGAGTTTAGATTATGATCTGAACAATGCCAGACCATAATCCTGCCCCTACAGGCTTGTAGGACAGGCACAAGGCATTATCTGCTTCTCGTCATACTCTAATGTGCCCATCACTCTGGAAAAGGGTAAATCTGGACTCATCTGCCCATGTGACCTTTTCCCATCCCTTCAGAGCAGAATCTTAATGTGCCCTGACAAACTGAAGCCTTTTTCTGATTAATTTGATTGATAAGTGCTTTTCTTAAGGCTAAACAGCTGTTTATTCCCTTTGTACGTGTGAAAATGCTTACACTCGAACACAGTTGTGACTTTACTGCTGATATTTTCTGATTTAATCTCACAAAATTTTCTCCAATTGTGATCATTAAAAAAATAAAATTGGACAGTTCTTAACCTATATTCATGCAGTTTCAGCAACATATTTAAGTTGGGTTTTTTTATCTGACGCAGGCCACTAACGTGACCCGTCTAAACCACAGTAAAAGGTTTTCCATGACAATGTTCATGTCCATGTCTTCTTACAATGAGAAACTACTCACTGCATCACTGAAGGTTAAATAACCTGTTTCCAGTCAAAACATAAGAATCACTCCAGTGATTATCCAGTCGAGGGCTCTCACCTATTTGCTTAGTAGCCACAATGCCCAAGGGGGCAAAACTGTAAAAGGACAATTTAACAAATGAATGATGGAATTGAATGCTTTTATGGGGTGTCTGACATTTCAGGACTTCTAAAGCTGTAACTCTCACGAATACCACCACTGTCAGTTATTTTCACCTTCAGGTATAAAGAGGTCAAACAATTTAACTGACTATATTATGGCAAATCATGGAAATATTTTTACTCCTTTACAGTGCAGAGCATGATAATGTATATAGATAATATACCATAAACCTGCAAGTAGGAAGAATCAAAAATGAGCAAATGCAACCAAAGGCATTCAATGTTTTGCAGTTGTTTATATCTGAATAATGTTTTAAATATTAGACAGTGGAGTTCGTGTTGAGTTCACTGTTTTTAGCAGGGATGTTCAGTCATTTGATTTCCCACTTAGTAAATTCCTTCACTGTGGGAATCATCCTAAGTTCACACCAGGGGGGTCTGGAGGTCTACAGGGGTGAAAGGGTGATGGGCCAGAGGTCATGGGTCTCACTCCTTCTTGTTTCACCCTCCAAAAATCTGGTCTAATGCAACAGAGAACAAAGCCTTATCTCAGCATGACCGAACAGCTGAAACATGGAGGAGCAGAATAAAGAATGAGGGGCAGGTGAAGAGGTGGATAACGAGAAGAGAGAGCAGGGTAAGTAATATGTTATAGAGAGTCAGGAAAATGGAAAAGTGGGTGGGAGAGTGAATAACGAGCTAACGAGGGAGGAGAAGGAATAATGCAACAATGCAATGAGAGACTGGAAAGGAGCTAGCAGTACAGTGTGTATGAGGATGAGATTAGTCAAAGAATGAGCCATGGGAATAAAAGAGATGCAAGACAGGAGGAGAGGCAACACAGCAGAGGATAGTCAGGTTAGTTTGTAACAACATTGCAAACAAAGGATTAAAGAATCGCTGCACCTCTCTCGCTCTCAAAAACTCTATGTGCTTATTGGGATTTAAACCAGAAATAGTGAGGAGCTATACCCAAAGTTTCCACAGAATATCTCCATTGCTTCATTTGATGAAGTGTGATGTAGTGGTGATAACACGTCACAAAGCATTCTGCAGGTTCAAACAAAAGCCTTTCTGTGTAGTGCTTCAATGATGCTTTGGCTTTCTTCCACAGTCCAAAGGCACGCATATTATGTTAATGTATAAATTAGGCCTGTGATGGACTGATGACCCTAACTCAATAACTGTTATGGATGGACGGACTGTGCAAGAGCAGCTTAACGGTTTTATTTTGATGGTCAAAGAGTTTAACAGCTGAAAAATAGTTTAAATCACACTGCATACTGTATAACTTTCCTTTAAATGCTGTAAATAAATTCTATAACAGAAGATAAATGCTGTTTGTACTTAAAAGGTCTTGTGAAAATTACAATGCTGTTATAAAGCATTAATAAACAAAGACTAATTATGCATCCAGTCCACTAAGTCCACTGGAAAACAAAGTTTCAGATGATTATAAAATTATGAGGAAGGATTTTGCATGTATGCTTATTGAGAAGTAAATAAAAAAAGTAGCCGATCCATTTCCAACACAAACTGAGGCACTGCATCGTCACAAAGAGCCAACATGGGGTGTGAGTCACAGAGAATAAAACAAAGGATAAAGGTCTCTTTAGCATTCCTTCCCTGCCGTAGAGAAAGAAACACAGTGTGCGGCAAAGAAGCAGGCAGCCCCACTCTCGGTACTCTGTTCTGCAACAATTCAGAAAACGAACAAGCTAACACAGTGGGCGACGTGACACCTGCTGTGAAGAGACAAGAGAAGGTTTTTCAAATGCTCCTCAGCAGAGGCTGGAAAATGTCAGAAATCACGCCCATGCAAAGAATATACCATCAACACTACAGCGTTATACTGACATTAACTGGAAAGCTTTACTTCACTCTGAACACCATGCATTGTTGTGGTAATAAAGGCGTAATAATAAACTTTGTCCAAAGTAAACATTTTGACACGCTGCCTTTTTGTGTCATTTACATTCATTTTGGTACCGAAATGTGAGACAATATGGGTTATACGCTGAATACAAACCTAAAGATAAGACCAGAGGAAATGAAAGTAACTTGGAGACATACAAGCTGCCAAAATGACAAAGAGAAACCACATGACTTGCCCTTTTAATTAGGTAATATGGTGCATGAAGACAGCATATAACTGACACCAGATCTCCATACAGACATGTACAAAAATAATTTCACTTCATCGCCACAGTTGTGGATACATTTGCGAGATTTAACTGTAACTGATTAATGTGCAGACAGGTCCAATCAGAACAGTCAAATTAAATATGAAATAATGAAATATTGGTTTGTGGGGCGGGAAACGTAAACTTGCCAAGAGATCATCTTTCGGGGGTCACCAAAACAGTGGATCATCTGACTTCATGTCCTCCTTCACCACAGCCATGAAAGTCATCTGCAATCTTCCACCTTTCCCCATGTTTGGCATCTCCATATTCAACATGCCCCCACCATCTCAGCCTTGCCTCTCTAACCATGTCTCCAACCTGCTCAACCCAAGCTCTCCCTCTGATGTATTACTACTAAAGAGTGTATTCATAATATTCACAATGAAATTAATTTGGTGCCAACGCATCCTCGGCATTCAGTTCATCCAGGAAGATCACGTGGTATCCTTTAGGCTGCAAACTCTTCTAACAGCACTCGTTTGAGGCAAAGACGCTGCTGGACAGTTACATCCTACAGTGTTTGTTTCTTCAACCAGAAACACTTTGTACTCTACATGTCATTTTGAGCTACCCTGATGAGACTGCTAAAAAAGTGATGATTAAGGAAGGAGCTTTGCCTATGAGTGCATGTTTGTATGCGTTTACTGAACACTTCTGTTTATACCCGCCTGCTCCAGAACAGCCAGGGGGCTTCAACTGCCAAAACATGAGCCTACCAAGCATTTTGAGTTGCTCGAATCCCTGAAGCAAAAAGAAAAAAAAAATAAAGCTGGCCTGCCAAACAGCATCTGAACTGCCACTGGCTTTGAACTGACGAACTGAGGATGCCAAGATCTGCTGTACTTTTAACTGTAGCTGTTCGATCTGAAGGCTGGCATGCCTTCACATCTCATTTGGCACATTTGGCCAAAAGAGGATTTTTTAAAATCCAGATATTAAATGTTTGACTTGACCAAATCAGTCATATTATTCATAAATTATCAATACCTCCCCCCAAAAAATAAACATTAAAAACAATTTAAACAATGTTGTACGCATCCAGCTTCTGCTGTAATACTGCACAGCACGAACGTTGTTATACACAGATCTCAATATTTAAATCAAATAGGAAAAACACTTTCTGATCTCTCCGTGAGCCTGTTGCTGCAGGGTCTGACCCAGTTAAAATACAGACGTCCTATCGTTCCTTTCCTGCTCTTCTCCCAAGCGAGGCCAACATCAGCAACAGAGCAAGATGGAGAGATGAAGGCGAGAGAACAATCAGTACCTTCCTGCAAGGCCTTTTGTTAGTTAAGGTTTCTGTTCACTGCAGACTATACAGTAAGTGTATTTGTTTGCAAGCTAAAGATAGTTTCATGTGTGTTACAGTATTTGTGTGTATGCTCATCATCCAGCCATCCCTTAGTAAAACCATGTCTAGTAACCATACAGGGTTTGAAAACAAACTACCCAACTACAAACCACTGTAGATGTGCTAACATGAAGCCGATTGATTGTCATTTATTTATAATAAGTAGTGTTTTTAAGTATGCCATTAAATGCTACTAAACATTTTGAAATACAGACAGAATTGTGCAGAATCAGTCATGTATAAGAAAAAGAAGAGAATGCACTAATATCAGATATTATTTATATTCACTGCAACAATCTAAGCAGCGAGGAGTAAAGAGATAAGAAGACAGAAAATGAACAGCAGAGAGAAACTGAGAGAAACAAAAGGGGAAAA